GGCCTGAGGACAAGGAGCTGGGTGACCCCAAGGCCTCAGGTTCTGAGGTCCCCATCGCCCAGCAGTCACAGGCCCAGGTGCTGGGAAGCCCAGGACCTGTGGGTGAGGACCTGACCCAGGCCCTCGGCGACTATGCCAGGGTGGAACAGTACCTGGGGCAGTTGATGCCTATTGGGGGCCTGGCCCCCCAACCTCTGCGGGAGCAGCTAGGAAAGATCCGTCGAGAGCTGCTCACCATCCACCAGGCACTGGAGCGGGCAGCAAGGCCACTGGACACACCTCTTGACCTCTCTGTGAAACGGGTGCCTGCCAAGGGACCTGAGGCACGAGCAGAGGCCTGGGAACTGCCTGAGCTGGGCCCCACACTGGCAAGGGGGACCCCTGAGAATCCCAGCATGCTGGGCCACACAGCACCTGAGCCCTTCTCCAGCCATACCACCAAGTGTGAGGCAGACTCCAGTGTCCCACCCCCCGGCCTTCCCCTCCAGGCCCTTGAGGACCCTGTCATTCCTGGCCGTGGCTGGGGTACTTGTGTCCGGGCTGGGGGCTCCCAGACCCCTAAGGATATCCCTGGCCTGCAGAGCCCCACAGGTGCTGAGGTCTAACCACAGCCACTAAGTGTGATGGCCCTGCCCCTGCCCTGGGCCCCCTGCCAGGAGCCTGTCCAGCCTGTGCATGTGGACAGACCCCACTAGCCTGTGATTGAGGCTGTCTCAGAGCCTTGTGGAAATTGCTAGGTCATGGTTATTTATTGATCAGTCATAGACATTAAATAGATACCACCTTCAAACACGCTGCCTGGGCCTCCTTCCTTTGATGCCCCAGCAAAAGTGCCTGGACATTCCCAAGGAAATGTCAGAGCCTGGACATTTTGGGTGGGCAATGTCCCAGACATCCCTGCTGGCCTCCCACCTTCTATCCCAATGCCCTTACTTAGCCCTCCTTGAGGGGCTAGGGACAGAGACAGGATGGGCAGGGAGATGCCTGCATAGTCTGGGCTGCTCAGGATGATCTCACTTGCTTTTTAGGGGTGGGCAGGGTCCTGGGCATCCTGCAGCCCCAGTCAGCCCAGTCTGCCCTAGCACAGCTTGTATGTGGTTACATGATGCCTCTTGCATTCTGTGGCTCAGGGCTGCTCACCCTATGTGGCCTTCTCTGGGCCCCCGCCAGTCCCTGCAGCCATGATAGGCATCGGTGGCCTTCACAGCTCGCTGCCTCCCTCCCAGTGCCTGCTTGGCCTTCCAGGGTGGGGGTGGGCATGTCCTCCATGGCCACCGGGAACGCCCAGTGCAAGCTGCCCTCCAGGTGCCATTCCTGTCTGTACCTGGCTGGCCAAGCTAGGACTGGGCCAGCCAGGCTAGGGCCAGTCAGAGCAGGACTCTTGACTGCCCCATTGACCGTGCTGCCTGGTGATAGCATCAGACAGCCACCCCACTGCAAGGCGTTACAGGCAGTGTCTGGAGCTGGGGTGCCGGCTGGCTGGGTGAGGAACACAGAGTGGGTTGCAGATTGGGGTCAACAGGTACCAGCTGAGTACTCTCTGCCCAGAGGCTTCCCAGGGGCTATAGGGCAGAGCCAGCTGGTGTCTGAGGACAGAGGTCCTGAGTCTGAGGTAGACCCTGTGGCACCCCATGTCCACTGCATCCCAGTTCCTCATGCTGGGGGTAGCCTCACAGGAGCAGAGTCTGAACCAACCTGCCTTTGTGGAGGGGTGGGAGGAGGGTGACTCAGCCAGCAGGTCTCCTTCCCCAAAGCTCTAATGCAAAGGTCCTGCCTGGGGGCAGTGGCCTGGGGCTGCCTGGTTCTGGCTGTGATGGGGCCTGTTGGAAAGGGTTGGGTGAGGCTGAGAGGCACCCAGGTGCATAGCAGAAGTGGGAACATAAGGCCTGTGTGCGGGTTTGGGAGAAGGCCCAAGGCAGGAAGTTGTCAGCAGCCTGGGGACTTGGTCCATGTTCCAGAGCTTCCTTGGGCTCTTGCATAACTGGGACTAGCCAACTGCCCCTCCCATTTGTCCCTGCAGGGAAACTGCCAGGCAGCTCCACCCCTCCCTCCACCTGTCTCCAACAACAGAGGCCAGGCTGCCACAACAGGAGCAGGGAGTCTGACCCAGTAGGGACTCTGGCTGGCCACTCTGAATGGGGGCATCAGAGAGTCCTAGAAAGGACTTACCTAACAGATCAGGGCTTGGAGGTCTCCCTGAACTGGTCACAGACAGGGGCTGAGACTGGCAGGAGCTAAGGGAAGGGGTCCCATGAGCAGGTGAGTTTGGGAAATGCCACTTATCTGCCACTCCCTCACTCCCACCCCAGGACACTGCAATGCTGTGCCTTTCATGGGTGGGCCACATCTCCCAGACTCCAGCTCCAAGGTACCTGATCATCTGGGTAGTTGCTGAGCTTGGGGAGCAGACAGATACCCCAGATCAGCCCCATGGTGCCTCAGGAAAGGCACCAGGAGCCACAGTGGGCCATTGCCACCTTTCTTGCAGCTGCAGAAGAACTGAGACTGACACCACCCATCCTCCTGCCTCTGGCCTCCCTCCCCAACTTCCCAACTTCTTGGGCACCCCTGCTGGCCACCTGATCCCCACTGCATCTCACACTGGACCAGCCTGGAGACCTCATTTGTTCCCGGCCGCCCCGGCTGCTTGGGCAGATCCTGGCACCTGCAGGGGCTGCAGGGGGGCCCCGAGGCCTGCACTGCTCCTCAGATGGCCTGCTCTTTCTGACAGCTGGGGCTGCACCCTGCATCCATGTGCTGGACCTGGAGGGACGCTCCATTTGCCGCCTGTCCTGCTGCATGCGGGAGGCTGGGAACTTTGTTCCAGAGGATGTGGCTGTAACAGCTTCGGGGCTTGTGGTGGTTAGCGACCTCATCCATGGGGCTGTCCATGCTCTTCAGCACACTCCCCGGGACCCTCAGGGACACTGGGTGACGGTGGGCACATTCCTGTCCCCTCGAGGGCTGGCTGTGGATGCCCTTGGCCGATTCCTGGTGACAGATTATGTGCGTGGGGCTGTGCACAGCTTCACATTGGGCCCTACCTGGGAGCCCTTGGCCCCAGCCTCAGTGCTGGGTCTGGAGGGCCCTTGCTGGGTGAGCCCAGAGCCTGATGGGGGCCTTGTTGTGAGCGAGGAGTTTGGGGATGTGTGGCTGTTTGGCAGTGCCTGCCAGCCCCTGGGCTCCCTGGGGGCCCTGAGGGGGCATACCTTTGGTCRCCCAGCAGGGGTGTGCTCTGATTCAGAGGGCAGTGTTATTGTGGCTGACGAACAGAGGCGCCAGGTGACCCTGTTTCCCAGGGCTGGGACGCCTATCTGTTTGTTGTCAGAGGGGCTGAAGCGACCCTTGGCTGTGGCCTGTTCACCCCAGGGCCACCTTGTGGTGGGAGATGCGGGGGACAACCACATCAAGGTGTACCAGTATCTTGGGAGTTGGCCTGATGATAGGCACTGGTAAGGGCAGGCCTCACCATGCCTGGCCAGCCTGAGGCTATGAAGCACCATGGGAGGCTGGTGGGCTCTTCTGGGGTTACTGGCCATGCTTCATGACTCTGAGCCCCCATTATTCCCAGACCTGGTCCTTTTGGTGAGTACTTGCATCTCATCCACAGCCAGAGATTAGCTGCCTTTCAAGCTTCCTCTACAAATCTCCTAAACTGGGCCCTCTCTGTGTCTTCATCCAGTGTGCCCCGGCCCTGCACTCAGCATACCCTGTCCACTCAGACCCTGGCTTGCTGACTCAGGTCTCAGGAAGTCTGGGCTTTCGTGCTGGCAGTAGAGGCTGGAGGTCCTTGGTGTGGTAGGCTGCCTGCCAGCACATACCAGGGAGGATCCTAATCAGAGGCAGGCAGGGTGGGTGTGGCTGGGCTGGGAGGCTTGGGGCAGGGGTGTGGCCCCTCAGTGTCCCCCAACCTCAGAGGCACCCACAGTACTGAGTTTTCAGCAGCTTTTCTGGGTCGAGCAGAGGTAAGGAGGAGGTAGAACAGAGGGGCAAACTTTGAGGTAATCTGGGAAGCACATGGCTGGGTCTGGAGTCTCAGTGCCCGCTCCTCCACTCCCCCATGTGAAACCATTTTGAAGACTGTCTTGAGTCTTCAATTCTCTGCAGATTGCATCCAAAAAGCTCCAGGTGCACGGGGCAGGAAGGTTGGGAGGTTCTAGGTAGCACAGGTCCTGAGTAGCCTTCCTCTGAGGACAGACTTCTGGTGCTTTAAAAAAAAAGGAGAAAAACCATGGCTTTTTCTCCCATGTTACAACTGGGAAAATGAGACTTGAAAGGGGACAAGTGTGGGGGTGGGTGCTTGGGGGTTTTACTCAGCAGTCTGCGAACCTGTGAGGGGTCTTCATTGCCTTGCCCGGCCCCTGCAGGCTGTGAGGTGGCGCTCCATCTATCACCAGGACACTGACATCTGTGGTTACACCTGTTGAGGTTTTCTCAATATGTCCGGGCCCCTGTGGGTGGGGGATTAAATGGGCAGATGTAGAAAGCAAGCGGAGTAGGTGCACAATAAATGTTAGAAGCTGCCCTGGTCTGAGATTTTGCGCCTGTGGCGGGAGGGGCTAGTGACTCCTGAGTGCGCATTCCTGGTTAATCCCGTGGCGTGGCCTAAACTGGGCCCAGCTGGCTTCGCACAGCAGGCCTGCAGAGGTCTGGGGCAGCCCATAGGCAGATAGTAGTGTGAGAGGTACGGCCTGGGGCCGCGGACAGCTCCTTCAGGATTCCACGCGGGGCCTGGCGGTCCCTTCCCCCCCTGGGAAGGCGGGGGAAGGGGCGTCGGGGACCCCCAGGGCCGGGCCCTCCGGATCCCTCGGACGAGGATACCGCTCAGGCAGGACCGCCGCGCGCGGAACGCTCGGGCGCCGCCAGCGGGCAGCCCGGGCGCCTTTGGGGGCCGGACCGTCGCGCGGCAACGCGCAGAGCGGGCGGAAATGGGGCTAGTGTCCCGCGGCGCGGCCGCGGCGGGGCTGGGGGCCGCGAGCGCCGTCGTCCGCCCGGGCCCGCCCGACGCGGTCCCCAACCCCGTCCCCTCCCCGCCGCCCGGGGGCGCGGCCCGGGGCAGCAGCCGGTGAGCAGGGGGGAGGCCGGTGTCTGCGGGGAGTCCGGGGAGCCGCSGGCCCGGCGGCGGGAGCGAGGGTCCGCGGGGCGTCTCCGGGCCGCGGGCTCGTTTCCTCGTCCGCGCCGCTGGGACGCCGCTGCCGCCCTGTCTGCGCCCGCCTGGGCGCGCTGACGGGGCCTGGGGCGTCCCGGCCGCGGCTTCTCACCTCGGGGACGGGCGGAAGAGGTTCACCTGTTCGGAAGGCAGGAGAGTTTCGTTTCGTTGTTTAAACCGTGCGGGTGGAGCTGCACCCTGGAGAGGCCTCACCCGAGGAGGGTTCCAGCGGGTGTCCCCCGCGTCCCCTGGCCCGTTCATGCGGAGGCGGAGCTCCGCGGGAGCAGTTCTTTCGCCCCCGCCTCGCGCTGGGGGCTGTTTCCTTCCTGGCAGAGGAGCTCGCCCGGGCTCAGGCCGTGCTTTCAACCAGGGCTTTCAAGATGCTCTCCTTGCCCAAATCCTGCCTGCCTCTCAGTCCCGTGCCTTCTCTTCTATCGATCGCCTGCTTTCATCTTTTTCAGGCTGCTGGATTCCCCGCAGCCTGGTGAGCGCTCTCGCTTGCGCCGCCGTCACTCCTAGAGGCTGAGGTGGGAGTAGAGATGAGAATTTGCCCCATCATTTGTTGAGTTCTCTGGCGCCCCACGGATCCGAACATAAACATCTGCCTTCCAATCTCCTTCCTTAGACGTGAGGAGCTATTTATCTTGTTTTGCTTTTAAGGTAAACGTTGTACATGAACCATGCTACACACAAAGGAAGCACACAGATTGTGTGCATGCAACTTACCCAGCTACCCACCATCTGTTTACTGTTAGGCCAAAGGTGTTTCTCTTCCATCAATAGCCATGGACCGTTTCCCTCAGTTCCTGTGGAAGATGTCCCCCACCAGGCGTGATGATTCACAGCTGATGTGTCCTGAGGGGTTGACTGACAGGAAAATTTATACCATTCTGAGTTGTCGACTGTAGCAGTCACCAGCCAAATGCTGGGCACCTCACAGCCAGAATCTCTCTGTCCCTCTCACAATGCCCCTGGTGCCTTGTGTCAGTGGTTCCCTGGAGTCAGGCCCTGCAGAAGGGACTGGAAAAGAAATTGGCCCTTGATGCCAGCCATGGGGCCCCCTGTTGGTCATGAGGGTTATCCCAGTGGTATCAGCTGATTGACTGTCCTCTCAAAATATTGTGGGGAAGGGACATCTGGGAGTTCTGCAGCTGGATCTGTAGGTACCCTTTTCAACCAGGACCCATAGTTATCAAAGTACCCTCCAGCTACTGGTCTGGTGTACCTGCAGGGCCAATAGCAATTACACCACGGTCTCTTAAGCCCTGGCCGATTGTGTCTGTGTGAGGCCCTCACAGACATGTGTGTCCTACTCTGTCCCCTTGTCTCTAAGGGCTTCATGAGCGCTGAACCTGGAGGCCCATGCTGAGTCCAAGGTCTGTTTCCCTCCCTTAGTGTGGCCACCAGCTTGGGGGTCTTTGCTCAGGATGTCTGCTGTCATTTATGTAGGCGAGGTGGGCAAACATGGGCACCCAGACTCTGCTGGCTGTAGTGCACTTTCCCTTCATCCCCATCCAGGTCAAGGAGCTCCTGGCCTAGGTGCAGCAGGCCCTCACCACCATATGGGGCAAGGTGGTCCTGTCCATTAGGCCTGTTGGAAAGGACTCTGGTGAAGGAATGAGAAGCTGCCCTTCTTTGCAGGGGGTGCCTCCAAAAAGGTTTCAGCCTCACTAATTCATCACTGCAAAGGAAAGGCCTGGGGCCCTGCAGAGTTCAGGATTTGCAGCTGCTTGGGGCTTTTCTTAATGCTCCAAGGCCACATTGAGATAGTGAGGGGCCAGGAAGGCTGGTGTCCTCTCAGTCTGAGAGAACATAAGGGTATTCTTCCATACCTCCAGGGCCCATGAACTGCCACCCCATGTCTAGATGACTATATGGTTGAAGAAATACATCCCAAAGGTGGGAAAATACTCCCCTGCTGGGAGCCCTGATCTGAGGTTGCTGCTGGGAATCCCAGGGAAAGATGAGTACCGCTCAGGGTCATTGCAGGTAGGGTGGAGAGTCAGAGTGGGTACAGAAACCCTGTGAGAACAGCAGAGTCTATTTTTCTGAATGTGGTGGCTGGTGGATGCTCTCCCTGCTGTGAAGGGGAGGCTCCTTCAGATTCTGGAACCTCCTGGGCCACTGCGTGGGTGCCTAACTATGTATGTATGTTTGGTTTCCCTCAGTCCAGAAGCACAGTGTTTTAAATTTTTATCTTTTCTTTTTTTTTTTTAATTTATTTTTTGGTTGTAGATGGATACAGTACCTTTATTTTATTTATTTATATGTGGTGCTGAGGATTAAACCCAGGATCTCACATGTGCTAGGTGAGTGCTCTACCACTGAGCCACAACCCCAGCTCTCTTTATTCTTGTTAACTTTTTTTTTTTAGTTGTTGATGGACCTTTATTTATTTATGTGGTGCTGAGGATTGAACCCAGTGCCTCACACATGCTAGGCAAGTACTGTACCACTGAGCCACAACCCCAACCCCTATTCTTGTTAACTTAATATATGAATCCTGGTTTGTTAAAGTTGTAATTTTTAAAAAATATTTTGTTTATTGTATTTGTATTTTTTTTTTAGTTGTTGATGGACCTTTATTTTTTAAATTTATTTGTATCGAACCCACTGCCTCACACATGCTAGGCAAGTGCTCTGCCAGTGAGCCCCCAAAAGTTGTAATTTTTAAAAAATATTTTTGTAGTGTTGATAGACCTTTATTATTTATTTATTTATTTATACGAGGTGCTGAGAATTGAACCCAGTGCCTCACACATGCCAGGTAAGTGCGCTACCACTGAGCCACAGCCTCAGCCCCTATAATTTGTTTTACTTTGTTGAGACTGTACATTTTGCCATATGCTGCTCAAAAAAATCTCTAGCCTGGTGCCATGGCACACATCTGTAATCCCAGCTATGTGGGAGGCTGAGGCAGGAGGATTGCAAGTTCAAAGCCAGCCTCAGCAACTTAGAGAGGACCTAAGCAACTCAGTGAGACCCTGCCCCTAAATAAAAAGGGCTGGGGATGTGGATCCATGGTTAAATGCCCCTAGGTTCAACCCCTGTACCAAAAAATTAAATAAATAAGAAAAGTTAGGGATGCAGCTTGGTGGTAGAGCTCTTGCTCAGCATGTGTGAAGGTCCTGGGTTCAATCCCAGGCACCACAAAAAAAGAAAAAAATATACAGATGATCAGAGTCCTTTACCTGTAGCTCAGGTACCCCTTTCAGGTGATATCTATCATGCACATCACCTTGACTTGCTATTGTACATGCAGTTGCTGCTTCATGGGGCAACACTCAGGCTGGCCTCAGGAGCATAGCCCATGTGAGATGGGTGGCCAAGACCTATCAATGTCTTCCACCAAACCCAGAACTGGGTTGCCCCAGTGTCTGCCAGGACTGTTTGCCACGTCCTGCAGCATGCCCTGACTCAGCCCTCTCCCCTCTCTTGCAGGGTCCCTGGCATGGTGCTCAAGGCCTTCTTCCCAACATGCTGTGCCTCAGCAGACAGTGGCCTGCTGGTGGGACGGTGGGTCCCGGAGCAGAGCAGTGCTGTAGTGCTGGCTGTAGTGCACTTTCCCTTCATCCCCATCCAGGTCAAGGAGCTCCTGGCCCAGGTGCAGCAGGCCAGTTCGGTGGGAATGGCCGTGCTGGGCACCTGGTGCCACCGCCAGCAAGAACCTGAGGAGAGCCTGGGCCACTTCCTGGAGGGCCTGGGCACCATCTTCTCCCATGAGCCTTGGCTACAGCTGTGCCGGGAGAGGGGCAGCAAGTTCTGGAGCTGCAAGGCCATCCACCGGCAAGTGTCTGCTGCCCCTGATGTCCCCAACGAAGACCAGGTCATGCTAATCTTCTATGACCAGCGCAAGGTGCTGCTATCCCAGCTGCACCCACCTACAGTCGTATCTGATCACCAGGATGGAGATACTATAGCTAGTACTGGGGGCCTGGCTGTGGTCTTTGATACGGTGGCACGCAGCGAGGTGCTATTCTCCAGTGACCAGTATGATGAAGGCCCTGTGCGGCTGAGCCACTGGCAGTCAGAGGGTGTGGAGGCCAGTGTTCTTGTGGAGCTGGCAAAGCGGGCCTCAGGGCCAGTCTGCCTGCTGCTAGCCTGTCTGCTGTCACTGATCTCAGCAGCCAGTGGCTGCCGGTAGGTGCTCCTGGGATTTGGCGGGTATGGAAAATGGGCAGGCCATTAAGAGTTGCCCCTCAAGTGTGCAGGGACCCAGGCTCATGTGGGCCCTTCCTTAGGTGTACAGCTCACCCTGGGACCTCAAATTGCCTTCCCTCCCCTGCACATCTCATGGGACATCCCAGGGGTGGCTGTGGTTCCTATGTTTCTTACTCCTGGGGTGGAGCCAGTTCTTCCAGCAACCTTGGTTATTGCATGGGGGCCCACCAGACGGGGGTATGAGCTGCAGATAGCTCAGATCCCTGAAAGAGAAATCAGATGAGGTCTGCCCTTCCTGAGGTGCTGACTTCTTGAGGCACACAGGCCCAGTGCTTTCCTGCTGCCCCCACTTCTCCACCCAGCAGGGCTTCAGGTGCTGCAATTGCTTCCTCCAGGAGAGGCAGTCCCTCCAGGGTATGGGGTGGCATTCAGTCACCCAGKCTGACTGCCTGGGTGCTGGCTGATCTCCAGAAGCACCTGCAACGGTGCCAGGAGTGCCAGGGGGTGTTGTGAACAGAGGGCTTAGGAGCTGGGAGCCCCTCTCAGCCTGAGGAGATGTTTCTTGGTGCTATCTCCCTGTGGAAGCAACTACAYGTCCTCATTTGTCTCCTTCCCTGAGGTTTGGGGATTTGCCTTCCCTGCCTACTCAGGGGCTCTGAGTAAGCCTGGGCACTGGCCTGGGAAGTGAGCCCCTGGCAGTCTAGGAGGACATACTTGGCTTGTGGGAGCTGCTGGGGATCTTGATGTGAAGAGTGAGTTTGAGGGTTTCATGATAGCCTTGGGATGAATGGAGGTGAGGTATATGTTGAACAGAGGTGCAGTTCTGTCAGAGAAGGTCTTCAGCTTTTATCATGTTCTCAGAGGACCCAGGAAGGTTAAGAGCTGCTCGTGTGCACTAGATGTTGATTCTCCTGTCAGACATATGGTTGGTGGCTATCAGCATTGAAGGCATGACTGTCACTACAGGAGTAAAGCCCCCTTCCCCCCTCATGGTTTTGTGCCTTGCCTAGCAGCTTCAGGGGTGTCCTGAGGGACCCAGGCCATGCAGAGCCTATCTGTAGCCTTGGAGAGACTACTGCACAGGTGGGGGTCTCCATGCAGCCAGTGAGAAATCACCTTCTGCCTGGTTGGCACTTAGGATGAGGAGGCACATTCTTGGAAGTGACTCAGAGCCAATCATTTGAAGAGGAAGGAGGCCTTTCAACCTTCTAAGGTCAGGTCTCCCCTTCCTTCCCGGGTCTTAGGCATGCATTAGTTGTAGCTCTGCACTTTCTAGGAGCCTTTTAGTTTTTTCCTGCCTACAGAGAGGCAGACGTAATGGTGTCTGTGCCCCTGGATGTGGGTCTCTGGTTCTCAGACTTCTATGCATAAAGCCAAGTTGCCATTGGGCAATTTTTCTACCTTAGCCCTCAAACATCTCTAGTATGTGAAAGCCTGTGGGTATGCCTTGTGAGAAAGCCATGCTCCTTGTGGAGTGGTCAGCTCCAGCGACCTTTGCTGAGCCATCTGGCAGGCAGGGCAAGGCCCAGTGTCCAGAAGGTCCTGATACCATCTTGGGGCCATCTTGAGACTTAACCTTGAGAGTAGGCTGATGGGTGGAGATGTGCTTCAGGGCAGAGCTTTGTGAGGAAGGCAGGCTCTATGAATTGGGAGGCCACCTTCTGGGAGTTCTGCCTACCCGACTTGTGCTTCCTTGCTAGGCCCCGTGGGTCTCTGCAACCTCCTTGCCCTGCTGAGTTCTGGAGTGAGGCTACTGGGTTCTCAGACTAAGTCTGGCCTGGCTTTTGCTCTGTACCTGCAGGGTGAGGGGCATTAGCAGGAAGGAGCACCTGGAGGAACAGAGGCAGAAGCCCTGGTCTCTTGTGTTCCCTGCAGGCTGTGGAAACTGTGGCCCCTGCCCTTCATCAGGAGTAAGCTCTCCACCTGTGAACAGCTCCGGCACCGGCTTGACCATCTAACGCTTGTCTTCAGCACCCAGAAGGCCCAAAGTCCCGCCCAGCTGATGAGGTGTGGGCCTGGCTTGGGGACTCCTTCCAAGGTGGGACGGCCATGGGCCCAGCCCTTTCCTCACCCCCATTCTGTACCAGACCTGTTGCACTGATGCCCTCAGCCAGGCCTCCCCATGTGACCTCAGGCTTCCCTGGGCTGCCTCACATCACTCCTGGCTGACCCTTTTCCAGGAAGGCCAACATGCTGGTCTCTGTGCTCCTGGACGTGGCCCTTGGCCTCATGTTGCTGTCCTGGCTCCACAGCAGCAACCGAATTGGACAGCTGGCTGATGCCCTCGTCCCTGTGGCTGACGTGAGTGGGTCAGGGTGGAACCTGGTTCCTGGGTGGAGGGCTCTCCTGGAGGAAGCTGACTCCCCTTTGTTGCCTRGAGCAGTTTTCTTGTCCTCACCTTAAAAATACCCTGAGCATGTGCTGTTGGGGTCTTTTGGGACCTGGGAGTTCTGCCTACCCGACTTGTGCTGTGTCTTGTGGGGCAGCATTTGCCAAGTACCCACCTTCCCTTCCTGAAGGTGCCTATGTGCATTTGTAGTTGAGGCTTTTAAGGGGAGCCCCTCCTCCCATCAGGCCCAGTATCGTGACTCTTCATTGCTTCTCCTCTCTGGGATCAGTTTTGCTCTCCTGGCTGCTGGTGCCCTCTGTGGTCAGCATCAGGAAACTTCTCAGTGCCTGGGGCTGTCTGCATTGATTGATTGGGATTCCCATGCTGAGACCCAGGGGCACAAGTTTGGTGTCTGTGTCCCTGACTTCCCCTGCAGTGTCTGTGCACCATGCTCAAGTCTGGGGCAGCCCTTCTGGCTCCTCCCTTTGGCCTGCCTACAGTATTTCCACAATGCCTTGGAGCCTTCCGCGTCTGTCTCCCTTGCTTGGAGCTGAAGTCCTTTCTCTCCCATTAGGAGCTTATCTTCCCTTAGGGTGGCTCCTTTTGCCCTTTAGCCCAATCGTGGCCTTTGGAGACTCAGTCTCTGCCTTGTCATTGTCTAGGTGGCAGGGATGGGCTTGCTTATGGCCAGGCCAGGACTCTGGGGGCAGGAGCAAGCACCTCTTGGCTCTCCTTGGGCTATGGGGATGCATGGAGGCCAGCACAGAAGGAAAGTGGGGGAGGGCTTGGCTGCTTCCACACTCTACCTCTTGGCCAACTTTGTCCTAGACCTCCCTTTTGCAAAATTGCTCAAAAATATCAATATTTAATTAAAAAATGAAAGTTTCTTTTTACTGCCATGCGCTTATCCCTTAAATATTAAATAAGTTCTATTTATAAAGAATGTTCTTCTCTTCTTGCCAGTTCTGAAACAACTGAGATCTTAGTGTGGAGTTGGGAGGAGTCTTTGATGTGGGTGGGTGGGAGTGCAGAGGTGTTGCTCCTGTGGCCTTGCTTTGGCTGCAAAGCTGAAGGCCCTTCAGGGCCTACCTCTGTGGACAATGCTGTTCCTGGACCCTGGCTCCCCTGGGTGGCTCCCCAGCTTCCCTGCTTGTTTTCAAGGTCCCTGCGCTATCTCTTGTCCTTGTCCTATCCTCTGGGGGACCCTGCTTCCAGTGATCCCACCTGTTGTGTGGGCCCTTGCTGGGCCTGATACCCTCTCACTTTGCCGAGGTCATTCCCAGGCCTCTGTTGGAAGGTGGTGGGGTGGAATCTTTGGCAGGCTTCCCTGCAGGGCTTGAGGTGAGCCATTGTCCAGCTTTGGACATGTTGAGGCATTGGGTTGAGGTGAAAATGGTGAGATGGGAGGGAGAGGAATAGTCTTTATTTTATTTTTTTATATGTTGATGAACCTTTATTTTATTCATTTATTTATATGCGGTGCTGAGAATCGAACCCAGTGCCTCACACATGCCAGGCAAGCGCTCTGCCACTAAGCTACAACCCCAGCCCAAGAGAAATATATTTTTTAAATATATTTTTTATTTAAATATATTTTTTAGATGTTGATGAACCTGTATTTTATTCATTTATTTATATGCGGTGCTGAGAATCGAACCCAGTGCCTCACACATGCCAGGCAAGCGCTCTGCCACTAAGCTACAACCCCAGCCCAAGAGAAATATTCTTATGTGGAAGTTGGTGCTCACTGAGGACCATGTGCCCAGTGGGCCAGGGGGCAACTAGAGCCTGCTGGGAGAGGTCCAAGTCCCAGAACTCATTTGTGAAGAGAAGTTCCATGGCCAGACTGGGAAACATTGCCCACCTACATTAGGAGATGGTAGTCTGAACCTGAGGAGGAAGGATGCATGGACTGTCTTTGCTCTGCCCAATGAGCTGGCCTCAGCAGGAGCCCATTATAGGCAATCTCAGGAGGTGCAGATACTGACCCAAACTACCTACCTGCCCCCAACATGCCCCCTACTACCATGTCCCTGCAGCACGTGGCCGAGGARCTCCAGCATTTGCTACAGTGGCTGATGGGTGCTCCAGCTGGGCTTAAGATGAACCGGGCGCTAGACCAGGTGCTGGGCCGCTTCTTCCTGTACCACATTCACCTGTGGATCAGTGAGTGCCTAACAGGGGGGATGGGTAGTCCCAGCAGGGCTTCATGGCACAGGGACCTGATTCCCACCTAAGGAGGACTGTGGGGCCCAGGTAGGCCCTGCCTCTTTTGTCCCCTCTTCCTGGCTTCCCGTGCATGTGAAGCCTGCTGTGCTAGGCCATCTCAGCTGAGGGTCAGGGCCAGTGGCATGGTCTGTGCACTTGAAATTCCGTGAGGGGTCCATCCTTAGAAGCTGGGGATGGGGGCGGTCCCAGGACCACCTCAGGCATCTCCTCAGGGCTGGCCCTGTCCTGCCAGGCTACATCCACCTCATGTCCCCTTTCATCGAGCGCATCCTGTGGCACGTGGGTCTCTCAGCCTGCCTGGGTCTGACAGTTGCCCTATCCATCCTGTCGGACATCATCGCTCTCCTCACCTTCCACATCTATTGCTTCTATGTCTATGGTGCCAGGTAGGCATGTACTTCCTGGGTGTAGCCCTCCCAGCCCAGGGTGAACAACAGGCTCTGGGGCCAGTGGGTGAGCTGTGTAGTGTGATGTGGGCTTGGCTGGCCCTCAGTGCCTGCGTCCTGCAGGCTGTACTGCCTAAAGATCTACGGCCTATCATCTCTCTGGCGTCTCTTCCGGGGGAAGAAGTGGAATGTTCTGCGCCAGCGGGTGGACTCCTGCTCCTACAAYCTAGACCAGGTACCAGCAAGGCTTGTGTGGGAGGTGCTCCTGGCTACAGCTAGCCTACATGGCTGACCCCATCTCCATTCCTTCTGGCCCTGCCAGTGTAGCTTCTTGAGCTCTACCCGGGCAGCCTGCTCTTATCCATAGTTGCCATAGTGAGGGGGTGCCTTCAGATAGTGCAGGTTTTCCCCCAGCTAGGAGACAGACCCTGCTTCCACTGCTCAGCTCCCTGGTCTCTCTAGGCCCTGAGGCTTCAGACACAGAGCCTACTCTGGCTTGTCCCATTCTCTTACTAGCCCTGCTACAGGGACAGTCTTTCCTAAAGTGAGCTGTGTATCCCACAGGCCAGTCTCCCCATGAGGCACCATGTCCACAGGGCTCCTGGGTGAACCCAGTGTGGTATTAAGAAAGCTGCCTGAGCAGGCTGTCCTGAGTGCATTCAGGAGGCTGAAAGATCCGGACTGTAGTTGCAAGATCAGTAGGGGTGGGCAACAGTGCTGTAAGGGCTGCCCTTGCCCAGGGTCTTGTGATGCCAGGTGTGCCGGCTCCTTCTCCCCACAGCTGTTCATTGGGACCTTGCTCTTCACCATCCTGGTCTTCCTTCTACCCACCACGGCCCTGTACTACCTGGTGTTCACCCTGGTGAGCCAAGCACATCATTACATGGGGTCATTGCCATCTCTGCCTGTGAGACGGGCAGCTGTGGGTCAGGCTGTCCACCCCATAGGCCACATTAGCTTGGTTGTTCTAGGCCCTCTGGGCAGTGCTAGATCCTGGAGTAGTTAAAGGTCCCGAACCCTTCCTGCTCTGAGGCATGTGGCTTATGCTGGAAGAAGAGGTGGGGCTATGGAGGAGCGCTCCTTCAGTGCTGTGTGCTGGAGGTGGGCAGCACCCTGCTGGCCCAGGCCCTCTGGTATGATTTGTCAGCACGTGGGCCATGGGATGCACCATCTCTGACCTGGTGGGAGGGTTGACTGCTCTGTCCCCGGCTCTGCCCAGGGCAGGGCTGCTGTTTCCTTCCTGCCTCCTGGGTATCTGGGCCTTAGGGTCAGGGACCTTGGCCATAGCCCAGAACTGTTGGGTTGCTCTGCTTGGGGGCATGGTCAACGTGCTCTGGTCATGCCCTGGCTCAGAAGCCCTCAGTGTTGCCCCTATTGCAGCTCCGGCTCCTGGTGGTCACCGTGCAGGGCTTGATCCATCTGCTCGTGGACCTCGTCAACACCCTGCCTCTGTACTCCCTTGGACTCCGGCTTTGCCGGCCCTACAGACTGGCAGGTGAGTGCTGTGTGCTGAGCACCAGTTGCTTGGCAGGCCCTGTCAAAGCAACTACCACACTGGCTGTCACACTTGCATCTCCTTCCTGGAAGCAGTAGCATGCGTGGTGTGTATGGCAGGGCAGACAAGGCCTCCTGGTCCCAGACATTGCTGAGCAGCTGCCTTCAGTGAGGTGGAGGGAGAGGCCCCCCTTAGGCTGAAGTTCAGGAACACAGAGACTTGAGGCCCAGAGGCAGCTCTTTCTATGCCTCCTTCCCTTCTGTAATATGTATGGCTTGCTCTAGGGTCTGTCTACATTAGGTGCATCTTGTCTGACTGTAGCTCAGGGAAGATCCAGCCCCATGTGGTTGTGTGAGCACATACCTGATAGTACCCACCAGCCTTGGAGGCAAACTGGGATGAGGGCTGCAGGCTGGCCAGACCCTGTGTGATAGGAGTGCCCTGCACTGTCTAGCCAACACCCAGTACCTCAACTTTCTCTGCACAGTCCATACCACAGGTGGCTGCCCCATTTTGTTCTGATACTGGCTCAGGGGAGATGCCTTTGAGGAAGGCTGACCCTGGTGGATGTGAGGCTGTGGGTCAGCTCATCTGGATCAGGGGCTTAGAGCACAGCAGGGGACCTGACAATGACCTGATAGCYACCATTTGGCACCCATTCAGGTGGTGTCCAAGGTGACCAGCATGCCCTGGTGGCTCTGCCAGCCAACTCAGAGCAGGAGGATGTAAAAACACATTTGTCAGCTTTGAGCCAAGGTCTGCCTCCTTGGAGGCTAGGCATCCCCCTGCTGCTGGACACCTACAAACCCTTTTGAGAATATCTTTGCAAGCCACTTTTCCTGCTGCCTCCAAATGGCCTAGGCCAGGGACCCATGTGCAGCTTTGCCCACGTGCCCTCTTCCCCGACCTCTTGTTCACCTCAGTACTGGAGGACTAGGCAGGGGCAGAGCAAGTCCCCATGGCAGCCTGGCTCCTTCCTCACCACCCGTGGCTTATGGCCAGAGCAGGGTCCTTTTCACCTCATATGAAAAGCCATGGATGCTGTGTTCTCCCTCTCCATGTTAGCTTTGGGAACTCTTCACTCCTGCTCTTTTCCAGAACTTTCCACCTTGGGAGGATATAGGCTAGAGAGCCTGAACTGCAGGCCAGGCTCCTGAGGGTCCTCAGATCAGCCAGCCACACAAAAGTTGAAGGACAGAGGCTAGTAGGGTGGCCACCACCCAGCAAATGCCCTGTCCTGTCAAGAAAGCAGCATAGTCTGCACCCGCCTGGCACCTATCCTGCTCTTCCTAGCCTGCCAGACCTCAGCTTCTGCTTGCCAGTGACATTCAGAGGTTTCAACATCGTCTAGGAGCCAGCCCCAAATAGGCAGATCCACAGGGTGTGGGGAGGGAAAGCTGTATATGCCCAGAAGGTCCGGGTACCATCTGGGTGCGCCCAGGGGAAGGGGTCTTCACTGTTAGAAGTCTCCACCCATATCAGCAAGTGGCTGCTGCACCCCAGCAGGGTCCATGAGAGCTGTCTGCGGGGCCCATGTGCTTCATGGGGTAGACCTACCCACTCTTAAGCACCCTGTTCTCCTTACAGCTGGTGTGAAGTTCCGTGTCCTAGAGCATGAAGTAGGCAGGCCTCTTCGCCTCCTGATGCAGGTAAGGACTCTCTGTACCCTCCATTTCAACCCAGGACTGGGACTCCTACCATGTTCTGCCTGGTTCTGGAACAGCTGGGGCCAGCACCAGTGGAGCCAAGGGGTAGATTCCATAGAGGAAGCCTCCCAGGCTTTTAGGCACCATGGCCAGCAGGGCTGGAACACTTACTGTGGTCTGCATGACTGATGCCTGGCCCGGTCTAGCCTATGAGGGCCCCCTGCCCAGAGTCACAGATACCCTGGGTTGCTGGGGGCTACCCCACTTGGCCTGGGTCATCTTTTGCCATGGGCCCTATGGGACTCAAGTTCTGGATGGAACAGAACTGACTTTGTGAAAGCCTTGGGACATGCAGGTGTGCCCTGTGACTCTGCACCCATAAAACTCCTTCATCTTAAATAGTCCTGGGTGCTTGGTTCCTGCAGGAGGGAGCAGGGCAAGTTTGGGGTCACTTTCCAGGTGTCAGGCTGCCTCTTGGGTAAATCCTTCCTGCTCAATGTGGTGTCTTTTAGATGTTGAGGCAGCCAAGGACTTTGTGATTTTACCTGCCCCAGGAGGCCCTTGGGAGCTAAGTGAACCCTGGCAGGGAGCACTCCAAGAGAATGTATAGTTCCCACCTCATCTCACTGTTCCAGGGGAATATGGATCACCTGCCTCCCTGGGGTCAGCCCAGCAAGCCACAGTGCCCACATCCCAGTGCTTTCTGTGCAGACATGGGTGAAACATTCCTAACAACCCACTAACCACTGCCCTGTCCTTCCAGATAAACCCTCTGCCCTACAGCCGTGTGGTGCACACCTACCGCTTGCCCAGCTGTGGTTGCCACCCCAAACACTCTTGGGGCTCCCTGTGCCGCAAGCTGTTCTTTGGAGAGCTTATCTACCCCTGGAGGCAAGGAGGGGACAAGCAGGATTGAGGGCCTGCCACAGCCCTCCCAGTACCACTGCACAGCTTGGTCTTCCTGCCCTCTGCCAGGGTGGTATTGACCTTGTGGGCAGGCCAGGTCACACTGTGCTCCTGAGTGAGGGCAGGCCTTGCTCCTTGAGTGCCTGTTCTGGATCTTGGGGGCCTGTGCAGTCCCTGCCAGGCAGTCAGCTGCCACCCTACAACCCCATCCCTCTCTAGCACCATCTGCCTTGGGAGCCTCCCCCTGGTCTGTTGTGATGCCTGGCAGCCCCCAGGCTTGCCCAGGAGTACCACCACACCCAGACCCTGTGAGGGTGCTGGCAGGTCTTCCTGGCTGGTCCCTAGCAGCCCCACCCTGTCAGGTGGGGCGGAGGAACCCTCCCAGGATGCACTCCTAGGTCCCTGAGGACTTCCAGCTGCTGCAGTAGAATGACCCCATCTGGGAGTTGAAGCAGCTGCTGACCCAGCCCCAGCCCTTATGGACCGGAGCCTTCACCCTGAGCTAGGCAGGCTGGTTTGCCAGTGCTTCCTGGGGACTGCTTCGTGAGGAGGATGTTGACAGGACATTTGTGCCCTTTCGCTGGAAGCTGGGCCATCTGGTCAGCTGGAGTTGCCTTTTTGGAAACTGGGTGTCCAGCCACCYGGCTTCCCCACTTCTGCCCAGTACTCAATGGGACAGGTCCTTTGATGAAATTTTCCATCTTCTCACTGGCTTCTTGTGGAACGAGGCAGCTCCTTCCTGGGCAGACAGTTCTGTGGACTACCACGAGTGGCCTCCAGGATGTAGTTTGGCCCAGGTTTCCTGCCAGGATCCTGTGTAAGCCAAGCACCCCAGGGAGAGGGAAGCCTGAAGGTGCTGGGTGGTGTGGAAATGTCTGTGCTGAGGGCAGTGAGCCCTGCCCGTCTCTCGGGCACTTGGGACTGCCCATATTCCTTTTGCTGCAGGCCACAGCAACACTAAGTACCCAGTGGAGGGTGCTGGTGGGGATGGGTCCTGACCCTGCCTTTTTTGTTTTGTCTTGAGAAGGGGTCTCACTGTGTTGCCCAGGCTGGTCTATAACTGGGTTCAAGTGGTCCTGCCTCAGTCTCCTTATTAGCTGGGACTATAGGTATGCATCCTGTGTCCAGCTCCCTGACTCTGCCTTTCCCCGTGGTGACAATAAAGCCTCCCACACGTGTGGAGCACCAGCATGGTCTTGCCYGTTGAATGTGTGCAGCATGTCTGAGGAGGCTTCAGGGCGGGGCGGGCAGACACTTCCAGGGCAGACTTGATTTTATTGAGGGGACTGCCATGTCCTGTTTCTTGTTTGGGGCTCCCTACAGCAGTGCTGTTGGGTCGGTGTGCAGGCCCTGGGCTCTGGCACAGGCCCCAGAGGACATGGCACCATACCCTCATTATGGCCTCAGCTAGGCATAAGGGATTGGCTCCTGGGGCAGGACTGGAGGTAAGTCACTCCCTGGACTGAACTGACCCCACCCATCCTTTAGCCTCTAGGGACCTTGGGGCTTTCTGCTGTTGTTCTGGTACAGAGAGGGGGTGGAGTCCAGAGCAGTCCCTTAGCAGCTCCCTGTCCTGGTCTTCTCCCAAGGGCCAGTAGAGACCAGCTGATGAGTGCCAAAGGGTCTTTCATTGGATTGTGCCCACTAAAAGCCTGCTCAAAGCGGCCTCTGACCCCTGTGATGCTAGGGGCTGCCTTCCAGGAGGCCTGTAGCCAGCTTCTGGCCTCAAATGCAGAAGCCTCTGACTGGGGCTTGGCAGCATGCAGCTGCTGGGGCTCAGTGACAGGGGCCATCATACATCCTGCCTGTTTCCCCCCCTGCTGTGCCTGGCCACCCTGCCTACCCTTGTGCTACGTATCCACATCCTTCCACCATTTCTGGGCTCCCATCAGGAAGGATCCTGCCCCCGAGCCCATCCCAGTGCTGTGTGGCCCTATCATGGGATTTTCTTGGCAGCTGTTGTCCTCTGTGTAGAGAACACTGGCTACCTCAGTCATTGAGAGCTGCTACCTGCTGAGGAGTGGCCCTGTTTGGGTGTGTCTCATGATTCTCATGATGAGATGTAGTTCATGTGTTTGTGGCATGCTGTCCTTGACAGGGTGTCACCTTGGGAGCACATGATGTCTACTTGTCTACCTTTGGTGCTGTCAACATTATTGGCCAGGAGCTGTGCCAGGCTTCCTACTACAAAGGTGTTTCCCCTTATAATTAGCAAGTTATTTGAAACCACTTGGAGCCATGTGGACATCCATTCTTTCACTGCTAGCTGCAGTGTCCACCAGTTCTGTCCATTTGTGTGATGTTAGTAAGATCTATCCTTGGCATCAGGCTGGGGCCAGGGCTCCTTAGTGACTAGAGCTTCCTCGGCACAGGGTTTCAGAGACAAACGTCTGTTTGTCCCAGTAGGTCAGTCTCTAAGGGCTGGTGATATGGCCCAGAAGGCAGTAAAGAAATGGTCTATTTTCTGTTACTGTAACAAAATACCTAAGACTGTGTGATTTTGAAGAGTAGAGGTTTATTTGAATCATGGATTTGAGGCAGGAAGTCCAGGAGCAAGTTGATGGCATCTGACACAGCACTGTGCATTAGAATATGGCAGAGGGCATCGCAGGGAAGGACAGTATGCATGGCAGCTCAGGTTTCTCTATTTTTTGTGGTACTGGGCATTAAACCTTGGGACACTTTACCACTGAGCTATGTTCTCAACTCTTTTTATTTATTAATTTTAATTTTATTTTATTGGTACCGGAGATTGAACTCAAGGAAATTCAACCACTAAGCCACATCCCCAGCCCTATTTTATATTTCATTTAAAGACAGGGTTTCACTGAGTTGTTTAGCATCTCACTGTTGCTGAGGCTGGCTTTGAACTTGTGATCCTCCTGTCTCAGCCTCCCAAGCCACTGGGATTACAGGTATGTGCCACTGTACCCAGCTCTTTTTATTTTTTGAGACAGGGTCTCACCAAGTTGCCAAAGCTGGCCTCAAACTTGTCATTCTCCTGCCTCAGCCTCTTGAACTGCCATGGCGCCCAGCTCAGGTCTCTTCTTATAAAGCCACTAATGCCATCATGGGGCCCCAGTCTTATGACTTCCTCTAATTATCTCTCAAAAGCTCCACCCCCAAACACCACTATGCACTTGGGGATTAGGTGTCCAACCCATGAACTCTTAGGGGATACATTTGAACCACAGCAGGCAGCCTGAAGGGGAAGAGCAAAACCACCAAATCTCTTCCTTTGTCCCCTGTGCCCCTCACTTAGACAAGGCTCAGCTGGAGTCTGGCTCTAGTCCTCACCCAAAGCTAGCAAAGGGAGATTGTCAGCACCCTTCCTCAGATGCTCCATAGGAGGGTGGGGCCAACTGGGGACTCCTAAGGGGAGGCCTTGCCTACACATCCACTGTCTGGCTGCTTCACCCTTGGCCTGAGGTCCCTAAGCAGCAGGGATGGTGTCCTGTCCCTCCCTGGGCCACACCTTGTCTGGTGCTTGTTGGACCCCAGTACATTCTTGCACCTGCATGGGAGGCCAGCTCCTTCATCCACCAAACCCCTTTCTTTGACTGGGCCCAATTTCTCAGACACCAGGGGTTCCCAACAGTAGTCATCACAAGACTGTCAGAATCAGGACCTCATACCAAATGTGTTTCTGCAAGGACTTCTGCTCAGCCATTGTCTGTTTCACCTCTGACTTATCGTCCTTGTGGCCAAGGATTGCTGTTCCATAACAGTATGCATAATCCTCATCCTTGCCTTTTGAAGCACCCCTTAGAGAAGAGCATGGTGGCACATGCCTGTGATACCAGCCACTCCGAAGGCTGACTGCATTGCAAGTTTGAAGCCAGTCTGGGCAACTTGGTCAGAYCTTGTCTCAAAATGAGAAAATGGCAGCCTGGGGCTGTACCTCAGTGGTAGAACCTGCCTAGTGCGAGGCTCTGGTCCATCCCCAGGACCATGCATGTGATAAGGCCTCTCCTTGCATCAACCTGTGTGAAAATGCAGTTTATTATGGCTGCTAAATGTTCACAATACTCATTCCTAAATAAATCCTATTCTTTGAAGCATCTCTGGTTTTTCTTTTCTTTTTGTACTGGGGATTGAACCCAAAGCCTCCTGCATACTAGGTCAGTGCTCCACCACTGAACTGTGCCCACAGTCCTTTAAGATGGTCTTGCAAAGTTGCCGAGGCTGGTCTTGAACTTGCCTCTTGAGTAGCTGGACCACAGATGTGTACCACTATGTCCAGTGGCCTGTTATTTAGTGTGACAGTATCCGTGTATGGGAGAGGATTTATCAGGAGAATTGGCTCATGTGATTTGGGTAGCCAACAAATCCCATGACAGGCAACCTGTAAGCTAGAAACCCTGGGACACTGGTAGTATGGCTCAGTTTAAGTCCAGAGGCCTAGAACCAGGGAAGCTATTGTGTAACCCTCAGAGATTAAAGGCCTCAGAACTCAGTTGGGCCACTGGGCTCAGTCAGTCCTAGGGTCCAAAGGTTGGAGAACCTGGAGTCCTGATGTCTAAGGCAGAAGAAGGGTGTGTCCTGACTCCAGCAGAGGCCACTGTGCCTTTGCTGTTTGCTCCCTCTGGGGCCCCAGCAAATTAAATGGTGCCATCCACTCAGACTCACAGGACATACTCCCCTAGACACACCCAGAATAAAGCTCCATTAGCTCTCCCCACATTCCATAATCCAATAAGGGGATGCCCAAAATTGACTCTCACAGGTGTTTGTGACTTCCAGTCTCTGCAAAGGGGAGTCAGTTTCTCACCACCCTCCCTTCCAGCAAGATTATGGACCTTCAAACACATCAGATGTGCTGCAGGGCTGGGGCCAGGCCAGAGACTAGGCTCCTCTGGTCAGAGTGACCTCTGTAGAAGAGGCCTTCCATGGCCAGCTAGGTAGTGAATGCTCAGTCCCTGGTCTCCCTGGGTACTCAACAACCCCCGCCACCAGCTCAGGGCCAAGACTGTCTGCCTTGCTGCTGGTCTGTGAACATGAGGTGTATTGTGTGTATCCCCTTTCTGTAAGCATTGGTGGCCATGTCTGCTATAACCCCATGTCCAGGGAATGTCCACTCCTGGGCAAAGGTCTTAGCTAAGACACAGGCAAGAACTTCTGGGCTCCTTTGGGATTACAAATGAGCTGAGTTCAGCCCAGCTTGGAGGCCTTGGTGTGGCTCTGGCCACCAGGACCCAGAAGCCCGTGTCCCCACCCACCCTGGCCAAGAGGACACCAGGAAAGCCTCTCCCTGAAAGCAGGTGAGGAAGGCTCAGCAGCTCACTCACCAGGTGCTGCCACCCTCTGGAGGCTCTCCCAGAAGCCTTCTCCAGCACTGCATAAAACAAGCTGCAGTGTCCCTGCAGTTTGGCACTCAGCAAAGTTCACATCTTCAGCTCTGGACAGCAGAGAGAGTGGCTCAAGTGTGGTGCTGCCCATCCAGGGGTGTAAAGAGCATCTGCTGCTGGGGAAGGAGGTTCCTGCCTGTCCTTGTCTGCCACACAGACCTGAGAGGTGTTGTAGCTGAGGCATCCTCTGTTGCCCTCAGACACATGGTCGTTGTAATGACATAACTGCTTCTTCTGCACAGATCTCTCTACAGAGAACCTTAACAGTCCTGTGACCACATGCAGCAGCAAAACTTCATACTCAAAGGACTGCACTTGGGTCAGCTTTGATGACTTTTGGGGGTTTTGGTGTCATATATGTCATAAAATTCACCCATTTTGAGCACATAATTCAATGACTTTCAGTAACTTCACCAAGTGGCATGACCACCACCTATCAAAAGAATTCTGTACCCGTTAAGCAATCACTGCCCCGTGCCCCCTCCCCCAGCTCCTGGCATTTACTACCCTACTTTCTGTCTATGGATTGGCCATTCTGGACATTGCAAATAAGTGGAGTTAAGTAATATGCATGGTTGGAAGCTTCGCTCGTGGATCAATACTCCGTACCTATTGACGGTAATACACTTCATACTGTATTTTGTATCATTGATCGGATGGATCTTTGGGCCGTTTCCTCTGGATGTTCACGTTTTCTCTGTGCTGACCGTCACGAGTTTTTGCAGGGTGCAACCTTCGGTGCTCCATTTTTGAGTCACAAGTTGTTACGTACGTGGCTTGAGCGAATGCCTTCTCATGCAAGCGGCTGACGAAGACTTTCGGCCGGACCTTTGCGTTGCACCTGCCGCGGGCTGCCCGGCCCGGCGGGTCCCCGCGCGGCCAGCGCTGCCCCGCCGCGGCTTGCTACCGAGATGACTTCGTCCCCTCGGCTGAGGGGGCTAACCCCATACCAGAGGTCCGCTTGTAAGAGGAGCGTGGCTGTCAGACGCTGGCCTGCGTCCACGGGCAAAAATCCCGTGTTTCGGCGGAAGTACCGCCCCCGAGCCTCGGAGCGTCTATAGGTCGCCTCCGCCCCCTGCACGAGGCTGACGCGCTTGAGACAGCCGACTGGGTCCCCACGCCGCCCTCTGCGAATCTCTGGGAGAGCAGCCGAAGCAACTTACTAGGGGACTCGATAGTCTCGGATGCACTCACGTGGCCTCAACCGGGAACCACCACCGTCCAGCCACCAGTCCACTGAGGGGAGGCGGCGCGTGGAAATGCCTGGAGTTCCAGGCACCTAATTGGCAAAAGTTAGGGAAGGGGCGGGGCTTTCAGTGCGATCGACGTGCCGGCGGCCCAATGGTTTGTCAGGGATGGTCAAGGGGGACGGGCGAGTGTGAGAGGTGTTGTCGGCTAGTGGGTGGGGCTGCAGGGGTTGCCTGGGACTCTGCGGGAAGCCGCAGAGGCGAGGGGTGCTGATGGACGTGAAGGGGAACCAATGGTTCAGGAAAAGCGGGAGGCGAGTATCCAATGGCGACGGTGGCGAGGTGGGGCGTCCGCTGTCCCCGCAACGACGTGTGGGAAACGGCGGGGGCGGTCGGTCGTGAGGGACTGGCAGCCCCTCCAACAGCCTCGGGAAAGGGGGCGGCGGGCGGCCAATGGCTACTGCGAGGGGTCAGGGAGGGGCGGCGAGGGGGCGGGCGACCAGAGGCTCCGCGGCTCTGTGTGGGCAGCGTGGGGGCGGGGCTTCCGTGACGGACGGAAGGCTGGACCAATGGTCCAAGGAGGGTGGGCGGCGGGTGGCCAATGGCGGCGGCGTGACCGGGGGTGGGGCGGCGGAGTTGCGCGGCGCTGTGCGGGAAGCGGCGGGAGGCGGGAGGCGGGCGGCGGTGGCAGCAAGGCTGAGGTGAGGCGGAACGGCCGAGCGGTCGGGGCCTTCGCGGCGGGCCCGGAGCCGCTCACCCGCCTCCGCCCGCAGGTCCGGTGGCGGCGCCCGTGGGCCGCGGCGGGCGGGAGGATGGGCACTCAGGGCAGCCCGGTGAAGAGCTACGACTATCTGCTCAAGTTCCTGCTGGTGGGCGACAGCGACGTGGGCAAGGGCGAGATCCTGGAGAGCCTGCAGGACGGCGCGGCCGAGTCCCCGTACGCCTACAGCAACGGTAGGGCGGCGGCCGGGTGGGAGGAGGGCGTGCTGCGAGCCGGCCGAGGCCCGGACCAGGCCTCCCGGGACCGGCGAGGCCTGGTCGGGCGCGGTAGCCTCCGCGCGGGAGGCGGTCCCGCCGCGCAGCCCGCGAGGGGTTAGCTTCGGCGGCTTGCCGCTCGCGCGGAGGAAACACCTCGGCAGCGATGTTATTAAACATCTCCTTTAACTTCCGGGTGCATGGCTTGCGTACACAAGGTGGATTGCACCACCACCACTTGCCCGAGCCTGCCTCTGGGTTTAGGAGTGTACCGGGAAAGCGTGGTGGACGGTCTGCGCGGGGGGCCTTCAGGGGTGTGTCTTAAGAGCCCGGGGCTCCCGAATTCCAGCGGAGCTGATGGCCAGTCAAGCATCCATCCTTTCGCAGGCCCTTACAAGCTCGGGAAGTGCTGTCTCACCTAATTGTACTTCTCCTGTCCTTGTTGTTCTCTGCCTTCCTGCTTTGTTTCTTGGGCTCTTGTCAGTCCTGTCCGACCGCCCTGAGCCTTTGCAGTTTGCTGAATCGCTTGCCCCAGGGCAGTTGAGAGTGTGGGCATGGTGTCTCCCATCCATTGGTTTTAGGATTTGTCAAGCTGGGCTGATGCAGAGGGCCCTGCCTCTTGAGCAGCAGTGCCAAATCCTGAAGGTCCTGACCAGAGAGGAAGAGCCATGGGTTTGTTTTTAGGTGGGGGGCTCACACTTAAGGCCCTTACACCAGCTAGGCCCCTTGACTAGTATTTGACATTCCAGGGTTATTTTCCTGCTGGGGCAGGTGGCCAGATTGTTTTTGTAGTAGTACTGTCGCCTCCTGGCACCAGACTCCCAGGAGGCTAATGCAGGAGTGCAGGCTGGGTTGGGCTTTTATAGTGGATTAGTGTTTTCCTGGGATATTAACTTGTGCTTCAGAGGATTGGCTCAGTCCCACTGGCTACTCCACCAACTCCACCTCATGCACACAGTGACTTGCTGGAGAGATAGGGCCCTTCTTTCTCTTCCATCCCCTTTGTCAGGCTGCTGTGCTTTCCTACAGTATGTTGACCGAAGTGGAACTTGTATTACATAAAATGTGGAGATCTGCAAGACACGGTGAGCTTGTGTCACAGAGGTCCATCTGCCGGAAGTGGTGTGGAAAGCCTGCACTTAGACTAATGGCAGGGCCTGGGCACACTTGTGCCCCTGCAGGCGTCCTGCAGTGTCAAGTTTGGTGATAGCAGTATCCAGGGCTCTTTAGATTAAGATATGCACAGAACCAGGAGTACTTGTGGTCAGAGCATCACCTTACTGACCCAGGGTGAACTTGGTGGGACTGAGAACACTTTGGTTTCCTTAGGGAGACTGTTGGGGGTTTGGAATCTCCAAAGCTGCTGGTTCTCAGGATTCAGCACTGTGTAATTTTGTTGCTGTCTTTGAAAGATTTGTGGTAGTTGGAAGCTTTGGATTTCTAGTTGCTTTGTGAATAGGTGAATATTAACTTTTCTCATTTGTGAGAAGTGCCTAGTGTGTTTCCAGTTTCTTGTTCTTGGCCTACACTTGTCTGGTTCCTCTGATCAGGTGGCAGGTGGGTCCCCAACCTGGTAAGGGGCATGCTGCTTTAGGGTGAATCAGACCTCCTCCTTGATCACAGCTGGATCACTTACCTGTCTTGAAGGCAGGTCTAGCTTGTTCCTAAGACAGGTATGCAAGTAAGTTTGGGCTCCAGCTTCACAAACACTTGTGTCATCAGAATGGCCACTTGGAGCAGTAGCAGTGTGATGCTTTGTCTAGGTGCCCACACTTTTAGGGCCTTGGTTTTGGATCTCTATGAAGCTTTGGTTTCTCCTAGTATGCAGCAGTGGCTTTAGGGGAATGGTCCTATTCTCTTTGGGACAGAACAGGATACTGAGTAGATATTCTCCCCAGGTAGCCACAGGGGAATTATGCTCTTGAGCAAAAGCCTCACTGCTTCTTGGGAGGGTGTGTTGTGAGCAGCTTCTGCTCACTGGCCCTATTCAGCTTCTACTTGCTACCACACAAGCCTGTCCTTGTTCATCTTCAGTTAAACTAGTTACATCTTCCTACCTGGGTTCCTACAAAACTTCCCTGGGTGTTAGGGGTCTCTGGGAAAGTCTGACGTAATTTGTATGCCGCAGCCTGGGAGATTTGTGTGGGTTAATGAGATGAGTCCATGGGTATAACTTGATTTCTCCCCCTCTTTCTTTGGGAGTCAATATTGGTGAAAGCTTCTGAGTGATGCCCTGTCCATTGAGCCCAGGGATTTGGGAGGGAGTCAGGGGATTGTGGACACTGCAAGGTTGACACGGAGGTTTGCTACGAATGTTGGGACCTCCTGGTTGTAGAGGTGTATGCGGGACCAGATGATGCTGTGCCCCCAAAGTGAGGACACTGTGTGCCTGTGTCCTGTGCAAGTTGTGATCTCCCTGCTGGAGCCAGTGCCAGAATGCCATATCAATGCCCCAGAGGCCAGTCCAGATATTGCTTTGCTCCCAGTCCATGTCTTTCTTCTCTTATTTGGAGTTTTTTTCTCTCTTAACTGCAGATTCAAGGGGAAGCCTGAAGTGCTTCTCTGAGCTCTGTTTCCCTAAGTCAGAAAACGTCTTCAGGTCAAGTATCCCGTGTTCTCATCTGTTGCCTTGCTTCTATGCTAGCACCAGGTTTTTATTTGGGAATGCTAACTCAGTGTGTTTTTAAGTGAATAGACAGCCTGTGTGCAGCTTCCCTGGACTGTTGTTTGGTGCTAGTCACATGGTCACCATAGCAACCCCTCATGGTTTGTTCTTTCTTCTGTACTTGGCCGGGGGCTCGGGTCTGGGATTCCTGGATTGATTTGTCAGGGTCCTCTGTTATAAACCAAGTTTTCTAGTAGGGCTTTGGCCCCAGGAGGAACAGGAACAATCACCATGGTAACAGCTAATGCCTCCAATATGTAATGTGTCCCCAGAACACTGCTGAGCGTTTCTCTCTATTCCTCATTTAATCTTTACCACCACCCTGTAAGAGAGGCACTGTTTTCCCCATTTTACAGATGAGGAACTGAGGCTCAGAGGCAGAGAGACTGCTGCTGTCAAGAGCAGTGTGGTCAGGGCCGGAGTTGTGGCTCAGTGATAGAGTTCTTGCCTAGCATGTGTGAGGCGCTGACTTTGATCCTCAGCACCACATTAAAAAAAAAAAAAAAAAAAAAAAGAAAAAGAAAAAGAAACAAACAAAATAAAGTTAAAAAAAAAAAAAGAGCAGTATGGTCATTGTGTTTGTGGGTCCAGCCTTCTCATTTGGAGGGAAGCAGGTAAACCTTACAGTGAAGTAGCAGAGGATTATTCTTCTCCCCTTGCCCGCATTTTCGTTTCTACTCTAGGGCTTCCTGGTTGCTGCATGCCTGCTGCTTCTGTACACTGCTTGAGACCTTGAGAAGTTGATCTCAGAGGACTTTCCTCAGCTCCTGCCTGACCCCTGCCAGCATCTGGAAACCCACATCATTGTTTGGAGTTGAAATTTTTTTTTTTTTTTTTTGCCATGCTGGGGATAGAACCCAGGGCCTTGCCCATGTGAGGCCAGTGCTTTCCCACTAGCTCTGCCCCTAGCCCAGGAGTTGACACTTATTTTTGTGTGTGTGTGTGGGGGGTGCTAGGGATTGAACATAGTGGCACTTTAGCACTGAGCTACATCCCAGCTTTTTTTTTTCCATTTTTTATTTTGAAACAGGGTCTCAGTAAATTGCTGAGCCCAGTCTCAAACTTGTGATCCTCCTTAGCTTTCCAAATTGCTGCAGTTACAGGTGTGTGATACCACACACACCTGGCTAATTGGCACCACTTTTTTTTGGGGGGGGGCGGATACCCAGGGATTGAACCCAAGAGTACTTAGCCACATCCCCAACCCCTTTTTTATATTTTGAGATAGGGTCTCTCTGAGTTGCTTAGGGCCTCGTTAAGTTGCTGAGGCTGGCTTTGAACTTGCCCGTCCTTCTGCTTTTGCCTCCCAAACCGCTAGAATTATAGGAGTGCAGCACCGAGCCTGGCATAATTATTGGCACTTTTTGATGGACCATTACACTCTTCTCAAGGCAGGTTTGGCCCTTCAGGTGCTGGCCTTCCTTCCAGCTCTGTGACATATGCTGTCCTCCCCAGAGTCCACTAGGCCTGAGAGCAGCAAGGAAGGGACCCTTTAAGATGGGATGCAATAGGCTGGGGGAGGTGCAGCATGCTTAGATGTGATGGGAATCTACAGAGGCATATGAACCAGCAGAGGTTCATGCATAGCTTCCTAGAGGAGGGGGCATCTGAAATGAGTCCTAGGGTTTCTCCTTTTCTCTCTCTCTCTCTCTCTCTCTCTCTCTCTCTCTTTTGGTACCGGGAATTGAACTCAGGGTCACTCAACCACTGAGCCACATCCCCAGCCCTATTTTATTTAGAGGCAGGGTCTCACTGAGTTGCTTAGCGCCTCGCTGTTGCTGAGGCTGGCTTTGAACTCCTGATCCTCCTGTCTCAGCCTCCTGAGCTGCTGGGATTACAGGTTTGTGCACCATACCCGGCCCTCCTTTTATCTCTTTACCATTACCTGGTCCCACCTGCCCTCAAGAGAACAGATTTCCATGTCTGTGCTAACTGTTCCATGTTTTATGCTAACTGTGCTGCTTTGTAAATAAGATAGTCCTCAAACATGGAAGCTGCTGAAGTTCACCAAGGTGCACAGGTCCTCCCTAAGCTCCTCAAGTAGGAAAGCCACTTCTTGTCAGCCATGATTAGGGGAAGGTGGGCAAGGACAGCTTGCTTGAAGGGTTTGGGGGAGAGGACCAGTTCTGGCCCCAGGCAGTGTAGCTGGGGGCCAGTGAGAGTTCTTAAATGAAAACCAAGTTTCCTTTTTCCTTCTGCTTTTCCTTTTCAATTAGAATACCGAATTGTGTTTTCCTGGGTCTTTAGCATTGTCATGAATTCTTTCAGATGACAGAGCAAATGCTTAAGTGGCAGGTATATAGTATATAGTGGC